GGTCCTGAGCTTGCCATGCTCCTATAGCTCATTCCTTTACATAGTCATTTGTCTTCATGGAATGCCCTCTCCTGGGGTATATACCTGACTCATTCTAGAAGCCTCAATCCAAACATTCCTGTGAAGCCATTACCTGCCTCCTGCAGACCTACGTAGGGACCCTTATTATGTTTCCACACCACTGTGAGCATAGTTCTAGGATACTAATTATCATCCTGCATTTTAAGTGTCCATTCACTTATTGGTCTCCATTCAATCCTTCTAGAATGTGAGCAACTTGAGGCCAAGAGAACTGTAGCTTACTCATTGTTATGTTCTGGCACCTGGTACAGCTCTAAGTGACAGATAAATGTTCTATGAAATCAAGAATTAATTTACCTAGAACTCTTCCCTATTATAATAAGTGAAAGGAACATTTAGACACTGTGGGCTTCTCTATAAAAATGAACATACAATCTCCCAAGTGCTTCCAGTGCTATGATTCTATTCATGGGGTCAGCTAGAGACAGACACAGTTTTAATCATGCACTCTGAGGTTAATGCCCACTTTACGTAACTGAGAACACTAGCAATCTGAAGATTGTGCAGATTATGCAGAATGATTTTTAGCCACTCCCCCAACTTTGCTCACTTTTGTGGACATTCATCCACATTCTCCTGAAATAATTTATTCCCATGTCTAGCTCCTTCAGTGCACTGTGAGCTACTCAAACGCAGGAACCTTATCTTTTTCATCTTTCCTAAAGCCTAGTGTCCTCTCAATAAATGTTTCCTGAACTGAACTACACTGCTAACCTCACAGTCTTAATTTTCATTATTATTTCTCTGGACCCATTCATCTTCCCTGCCACATTTGTGCCTGAATTTTAATAATGAATGCTTAATGAAATAATCAATGGCATCATCAATGATTCCATCAGATTCTCAGACTTCAGATTTCCTAATACTTTATGCCTCAAACCCCCCTTGGAAGGAATTATCCCATATGAAAGGAGTAGCAGCACTGGACGAAGCAAAACTAGCCGAGATAAATCGCCATCATCTCCTCTTCTTCATTTCTCATTAAGGATTCAAGAAATGGGCCATTGTTTAGAAGTGATCCGTATGTCTACTCTTGCTCTGCTGCAACCTGACAAGAGAACAGACAGCCATCCTCACCTATATTTTCTGCTGTTATTGCCAACCATTAATCTGTGCTGGAAATTAAGCAAAAGCCTGAAAGCCTAATTTAGATGATAACAGCTACCACTTAATAAACGGAGCCACAACTGGGTGGGGCACGGTGCTCATGCCTGTAATCCCAGCACTTTGGGAGGCCAAGGTGGGCGGATCACCTGAGATCAGCAGTTCAAGACCAGCCTAACCAACATGGAGAAACCCTTTATCTACTAAAAATAAATTAGCCAGGTGTGGCAGTGCATGCCTGTAATCTCAGCTACTCGGGAGGCTGAGGCAGGAGAATCCCTTAAACCCAGGAGGCGGAGATTATGGTGAGCTGAGATCACGTCATTGCATGTACTCCAGCCTGGGCAACAAGAGCAAAACTCTTTCTCAAAACACACACACACACAAAAACAAAACAGGAGCCACAAACAGTTCAGCACTCTGTGAATGCCAGGCAGAGCCAGAAGGCAGGACAATTACAACAAGAAACACGTCTTTAGGTCTGTTCCTGGAAGAAACAAGAGCTTCGTAGGACCAAAAACAGTTAGACACTGAGAATTTTGAAGTCATGGCAGCTGGTGGGAGGGCACACTTCTCACTTACTGAAATTGCCTGATGTATTTATTTTTGTTGTCTCCTTTCCCCAAGTGGAAGATAAGTACATAAACTGCCTAAAGCAGAGATCTTATCCACTGCCTTGTTCCCAGTGATTACAAGAGTATCTAAGAATGTATTCAATATCTTTAAGCTGAAGAGTTAAAATCTGGCATTTTCCTCATCCGTTAATTCACCACAAATGATTATTTCCAGGCTATTGTACTTATAATGGAAATCCTTCTTCAGAGATTACATATCCCCCTCCCCATTTTATACAGTGGTCCCCTACTGTCTTTGGATTTGCTTTCCACAACTTCAGTTACCTGTGGTTCATCACAATAAGCTATTTTGTGTGTGACAGAGAAAGAGATCAGTCACATAACTTTTATGACAGTATATTGTTATAACTCTTCCACATTATTATTGTCATTGATCTCTTACTATGCCTAGTTCATACATTAAGCTTTATCATAGGTATGTATGTTTAGGAAAAAAGATAGCACATGTAGGGTTCAGTATTATCTGCAGTTTCAGGCATCCACTGGGGACCTTGGAACATATCTTTCATGGATAAGGGGCGACCACTTTATTTGTCCTTGACACTTTATCATTATCGTATACATTATGTATTTCACTTGTGTGGTTATCACATATCTGCTTTTGCTAGAACATGAGCTCCACAGAGCATGGGTTTTCATCTATTTTGTGCAGATGTATTCCTAGCATCTACAACAGTGCCTAGAACGTAGTAAGCATTCCATAAATATTGGTTGAATGAATAAGTGAAATATTTATCCAGTACCTTTTAGATAACAAGCTCTTTTTCAGGCAAACTGGAAGATCAACCAAATAACCAACCAACAAACACAGATTTTAACCAAATTTACAACTCCCCCATACCCTAAATCTTCTGTAATATCCGGGACCTGCAATCACATGGCCTCAGTTTTGGTATATTCAGTAAGAGGAACTCAGTGCCTTGTGTAGCAGCCCATTTGTGGTTTGATAGATTCAATTTTCACAAAGCTCTACTTAAAATTTTTAATTAACAAATAAAAATTTTATATACTTATGATACAAAACATGATGTTTTGATATATGTATGCACTATGGAATAGCTAAAACAAACTAATTAACATATATATTATCTCACATAACTTTTTTGTGGTGAGAAAACTTAAAATCTACTCTCTAGCTGGGTGTAGTGGGTCATGCCTGTAATCCCAGCACTTTTGGAGGCCAAGGCAGGCGGATCACCTGAGGTCAGGAGTTCAAGGCCAGCTTGGTCAACATGGTGAGACCCTGTCTCTACTAAAAATACAAAAAATTAGCGGGGTGTGGTGGTACATGCCTGTAGTCCCAGATATTCAGGAGGCTGAGGCAGGAGAATCACTTGAACCTGGGAGGCAGCAGTTGTAGTGAGCCAAGATCGCATTATTGCACTCCAGCCTGGGCAACAGAGTGAGACTCCATCTCAGAAAAGAAAATCTACTCTCTTGGCAATTTTAAAGTACACAATATATTGTTATAACCATTACTATAATCACCATGATGTAAAACAGACCTCTTGAACTTGATCCTTCTGCCTAACTGAAATTTTATATCCTTCGACCAACATCTCCCCATTACCCATCCCTCCCGTCTCCTCGTTCACCTCTAGTAACCACTATTTTACTCTCTGCTCTTATAAATTTGACTGTTTTAGATTCCACATATTTGTGAGATCTTTTTATCGAACTTAACAATATTCTTCAGTTATATCCATGTTGTCGCAAATGACAAGACTTTTTTTTTTTTTTTTTAGACGGAGTCTTGCTCTGTTGCCAGGCTGGAGTGCAGTTGTGTGATCTTGGCTCACTGCAACCTCTGCCTCCCAGATTCAAGCAATTTTCCTACCTCAGCCTCCTCAGTAGGCGGGACCACTGGCATGTGCCACCATGTCCAGCTTTCTTTTTTGTCTTTTTAGTAGAAACGGGGTTTCACCATGTTGGCCAGGATGGTCTCGATCTCTTGACGTCATGATCTGCCTGCCTCAGACTCCCAAAGTGCTGGGATTACAGGCATGAGCTACCACGCCTGGCCAATTTCCTTCTTTTCAAAGGCTGAATAGTATTTCATTGTGTATATGTTCAACATATACTCTTCATTCATCCCTTGATGGACAATTGTGTTGTTTCCATATCTTAGCTTCTGTGAATAGTGCTGCCATGAGCATGGAAATGCACGCATCTTTTTTTTGTGTAAGAAAATATTGTCTTTATTTTTAAATACAAAATTCACTGCTATGAACAGTGCAGCAATGGGCATGAAATGCATGCATCTTTTCTTTTTTTATATAAGCAAATATTGTCTTTATTTTATTTTTAAATATATTTTTAGTATTGTATTTATGGAAATACAGGGGTACAGGTGGTATTTGGTTACATGATTAAGTTCTTTAGTGGCGATTTATGAGATTTTGGTGCATGCATCACCTGAGCAGTATACACTGCACCATATTCATAGTCTTTTATCCCTCGCTGTCCTCCCACTCTTCCTCCAAGTCTCCAAAATCCATTGTATCATTCTTATGCCTTTGCATTCTTATAGCTTAGCTTCCACATATCAGTGAGAATATACAATGTTTGGTTTTCCATTCCTGAGTTACCTTACTTAGAACAATAGTCTTCAGTCTCATCCAGGTTGCTGCAAATGCTATTAATTCATGCCTTTGTATGGCTGAGTAGTAATCCATCGTGTGTGTGTGTGTGTGTGTGTGTGTGTGTGTGTGTGTACCACAGTTTCTTTATCCAAGACTTCTTTTCAAGATGGTGATTTCATTTCCTTCGCATATATACCCAGAGGTGGAATTGCTGGTTCATATAGTAGTTCTATTTTTAGCTTTTGAGGAGCCTCCATACTATTTTCCATTATGGTTGTCCTAATTTACACTGGGAAAACAGTGTACAAGGGTTTCCTTTTCTCCATATCCTCACCAACACGTCACAGAGTTTTTCTTAATACTAAATTCAAATATAACTGCCTATACTTACTAGCCTAGACTGCTTATAGAGTCCTATAGTTTTGCTCTTTGTAGTGATATAGTAAACGTCAAATTCTTCTTCCACTCTGCCCCAGCTACCCATTGTTGTGTAACATAAAATTATGTGACTTAAAATTACTGGAATCTTTTTCATGTCTTTCATGGTTCTGGGGTTGAATGGGGGCAGTTCTTTTTTTTTTTTTTTTTTTTCTCCAAATTCCTGGTTTAATAAGGACTTGTTTATTTTGAAGAAAAAAGGTCCCAAACATCAGGCTGTTCACAAAAATAACCCACAGTATCAACTTTAGAAAACAAATCTTAAGACTATAACACTATTTTTCTAGAGGATGCATTTGACATGCCAACTCTCATTCACAAAAATACATCGTTACATTTGTGTTGAACTGCCCCACGGAGCACACTAATGTTGGGGTGTAACACACATACTTCTAACTCAAAGCTGCTTTCAGGAGCTACTCAACTAAATGAGATTGCCTTTGCAGTTAGGGAAGCAACTACTGAACATATGTATGAATGAAAAGAACTGTACTCCCTTCATAACAAGAGATTATTTTGGAGAGAGTTGATAAAAACCATACATCCTTTTTATTGTTAAGTCATAAAGAGGTATCAAAATTAAAAGCAAAAATTACAGGGTAAGACTTAACAAAACTACTAGGAGCATCAAAAAGGAAGTGAAAACGGGACTAGGTGCAGGGAAATATGAATTAACGAACATGGGAAGGACAAGGATGGGGAGAACAGTGCGCATGTGCTGAAGATACTAGGGGAGAGGATCTGGTGAAAAATTTGATCTTAGACAAGCGCCTAGGTAAAGAAATAATGGGATAAGATTTCTAAACCCCACTATGTGCTTAAGAGTCCTCCTCGCCATTGGCGCTGTCTCTGTCATCCTCTCCTTCCTCAGCCTCTTTTTCATCATCCTTGATCAACTCCAGCTGGTCATCTCCCCGATCTTCATTATCATCATCATCCAGTAGGTCCCCCCCGTCAGCAGAGTCATCTGCACCCCCCTCAGACTCCATCTTCACATTAGTCTCTTCTTTCTTCATGGAGCTGCTGCTCTGCTCCTCTTCTGAGTTATCATTCTTCATCTCTACTGCTTGTTTGCTCTGTTCCTTTTCAAATTTTTCCAGGTTTTCCAGGAGATAATCCACTTTTTGTTTTATCTGGGTCAGTTCCTTCTTAATGGCCTGAAGGTCATCTCCTTTCAATTTTCCAGACTTGGAAGATCCCCGCTGTCCACTCTTATAATTGAAGCCACTTTTGCCCCTTCGTGAGGTGTTTCCTGATACACGCTGACGTTTCGAGGGCACTACAGCCCAAGCAATAGGAGGAGGAGGAGGTACACGTGCTGGGTAGCTGTACATCCTATCATAATAATCCCGTTGAAAGTCATAGTCCAAGCCAAAAGAGGAGCCGTACATCTCCGCTGCAGATCGTTTCACACCTGCTTTTCCTCGGTTCACTTTTGGCTCTGCAGCCAGGTTAATATCTAAAACCTGGCCAGCAATCATTCTGCCATCCTCTCCTGCTACAGCAGCCCGGGCATTTCTCTCATTAACATATTGAACGAAGGCAAAGCCCTTATGAACAGAGCAGCCCACAATTTTGCCATACTTCGAAAAGATTGCCTCCACATCAGATTTCTTGACCATGAGAGTGTTGAGATTCCCAATGAACACACAGGAGTTCATGGAGCGAGGATCTGTCTTGTTGGTAACGTTACTGGCCATTGTGTTTGATGATCAGGTTTGTCACAAAGCCGAAAATGTAGCTGAAGATCAAAAAAATCTCACAGGAGGGAGGAGGGAGAAGAGACTCGATTCTGAGTCTCCTACTCCTGGGTTCTACGTGCAGAAGCCGACTGCTGCTGGAGGTCGGCAACGTGGACACAACCGCTCAGTGTTCGTCTCTTCACAAAATCGAATGGGGGCAGTTCTTATTTGGAGCCTCTCATGCAATTGCAGTCATAGGTAGCTGGGCCTGTAGTCATCTGACATATCTGCTAGTTGATGATGGCTATTGGCTGGGACCTCAGCTGGGTTCTAAGAGCAACTGATCCGAAGAAAGTGGCAGCTATCAGTTTCTTAGGGCCTGGACTCAAAAACTGGCACAGCATCACCTGCACCACATTCTACTGACCAATAATCTCAGAGACCAGATTTAGGAGGTGAGGTCATAAACCCCACCTCTAGATGGGAGGAAGGTCAAATAATTTGGGAGGTTATGTTTTAAAACTGCCATACTTATAAAATCCTTAAATATATTTGAGAAATCTCAACCCAGGTTGAAAAACTAATTCATATAATTATCTCTCAGATGATTTATTACATATGAGTCCTTATTTGGTATACTCATTATCTCCTTCAGGATGTTTTCCCATACACCAGCTTTCTTCTTAAAATATGATGGCCAGGACAGAACAATATCATATTAAACTTACTCAAAACTGTGCAAGGCCCTTCTGTTATCCTAGAGACAATCTCACACCTATTTCTTCAGTCCATGACTAGGCTTATTTTGGGTAGCAGCCATGTCACACAGTGCCGTGATATGAATGAATTAAACCACTTAGGTCTTTTCCTAGAAAAAGCAATAAAATATAAGTGTGTGGTTTCCTTTTGGGGGTATATGTGCAGGATTTTATATTTGCCCCTACTAAATTTCATGTTACTGGAAACTTTGGCTCCTTATTCTAGGCTGTTGGGATAATCATGATAACAGGTGACATGCATTAAAAGCCTGCCAGGCATCAATCATTCCATGTGAGATGCACAGCCCTTGCATGGTCTCCTTTATCTCACAAGATAGGTCCTGTTTTTACACCAATTTAACAGATAAGGAGATTGAATTATGAACTGGTCAAAGGTCACACTATTCTTAAGTGTGGAAGCCTTGTTTTAAATCTGGCAGTTTGGGTTCTAAGCCAGGGGTCAGCAAACTATAACCCAAGGGCAAAATCTAGTTGCTTGTTTCAGTAAATAAAGTTTTATTGGAATGCAGCCATGCTGCATTAACATATTGTCTATGGCTGCTTTCCTGTTACAAAGGCATGGTTGAGTAGTTGAGGCTGAGACTGTATGGCCCACTAAGTCTAAAATGTGCCCTGTTGAAAAAGTTTGCTGACCCCTGGTCTAAAACATTATGTCTTGCTGCCTCTTTGGTTATACTGATAGCACTTACCTCATGCCTGCTTTGCTCAGTCCTCTGCTTGATCATTTACCTACGATTGTCACTTTTTCACAGGAATCCTGTAGGCATTGCCATTTCTCTTCTGCAGCTGGAGACGGTGAGGCTTAGATGTTAGGAATATTCGCAGGGCCACTCAGCCAGAAAGTGACAGAACACGGGTTTGCGCCCAAGTCAGTTTGGCGTGGCAGCATGTGCTCTTTTCCCTACCCTGCACAGCTCATGTAGAAGCATCTGTTAACCATCTGTTTAAAATTCCCTTCCCACGTGTGCCTTTGGATCAACACTGAGCGCTTCGATGTACTTCTAGAATCAAGCCTCCTTTTCCCGCTTTGATAATAGGGACCATCTTTGGCTCCAGTCTTTTCGCACTTTTCTGTCCTCAATGCCTAAAAACTGCCACTGCGGTGTGGGGTATAGCTGCAACTTCTTTCAGCACCCCAAGACTTGAGAACCTTATTTTGTGCAATTAGATCCTCTCCTACTCTCTTGTTACACGGTTACATCATCAGCTCCTCTCACCAAATTTGTTCTACCCCTTTGCACAAAAATTATTCTCCCTGATTGTGGAGATGGGAGGGAGGGCCTTGGTGGTCTTGGTTTTTCTCTATGTCTTATTTATTGGGCACTCCATGTTAACCATGTGTAGATATTCTTCCAAATGCTTAACAAATATTAACTTATGGATCTTTTTATCAGTCTCAGAGTAAAACGCGATTATTATCCTCACATAACAGATTAGAAAGAGAGCACAGAAAGGTGAACCATAGCAGGATCCAACCTGGCCTGGGGTCTGTGCTCCTAACCATCACATGATGCTGCCTTCCATCTAAAGGCTTGCCCTACCCCGTGGGTATGGCCACCTTCTCCTTCCTCTGAACACAGTTCAAACATGTCCTTTCCCTGGCCTAGGCACCACAGTTCTACATGCCCTGTGCAGGGATGGCATTTATACAGCATGTGGGCTGCTGCTGCTCCATCCTGCCAGCTGCATCTGGAAGCCACAGGAAACATGAACAATTCACTGTTCATTCTGAGGGTGGAACGTGGCCTCAGACTTTTCCGAGATAGAGTCATCTAGACAGCTGTCACTACCAATCAATCTGCCACTGTCTAGGCATACTTATTGTTCTAGGTGAAACAGCCCAAATAGCATGTATTTTTACATTCATACTGGGCTTGCCTTTATTAAATGAAACATATAGGAGGCCATTGGCTCGAACTGGACTCTTGTACCAGGATCAACAAACTGAACCAAAATGGAGTCATACATGCTAACATTCCACGCTACCAATCCAAAGCTAAGTTGTTTATCTCACCTTCAGAGAAAACAGGAGGGAGGGAGAGAGGGAGGGAGGGGGGGGGGAGAGAGAGAGAGAGAGAGAGAGAGAGAGAAAACACAGCCAAATTGCCATACTGATCAGGTTTCACTGTCACAATAAGGCGTGCCCTTTGCTTTAACCTTTGTAACTTAGAAATGTCCAATCCACTTTCTCTTCTGTTTCTGCTTTTTTCAGCCATTTTCTGTGTCTAAAGCCAAGTTCCTCTGTTCAACCCATCAGATCATTCATTCTATTTTATAGAATAATATGTTGCCAGATTCTAGAATCACAAATAAAAGCCAATTAAAATCTTTAAACTACATTTATTGTCATTTTGTCTGTAGACACTGCATACCTCTGCCTATCCTGACCATCCCCGACTTCTTCCCCAGTACTCTGTGCCTTCCTTCGCTCTGATTCTCCAATTGCTGTGAACTGCTTTAGCACGTGATACTCTTCTAAGGTAGAAGACAAATCTCAAAGCACAATTAAAAAAAAAAAAGAGAGAATTATTTCTCCCTCCACCTGTCATTATCAAAAGTCTCAGGGCCAAGCTGACAGGTTCTAGGCAAGGAAGAAATCTAAAGATGAAGCCTTTTAAACTAAGGCAGAATATCCAACCACATGCAGCAAGAAAGCTTCCAATGTGCTGCCACATCAACTCTCTCAGCTCCTGGGCGAACAAATATGAACTCATCTACACTGGCCACTAAGCTGGTCATCTCTGGCTGGGATTAGCCTTTCTTTCTACCTAAAGGTACTGTACAAATATTATCATTTTCTACATGTATCCTAATGGGTAAAATGTTAGGGTGCCCTATGATAAATTACTAATAATATGTTACCCTTCTCTTGGATCTGATTGATTTAAAACAATATATCTGGAGAGGTCACTGGATCCCAGGGGCATACTCTCTATGGGTAGGAATTTAGATGCTGTGGCTGTTGAAAATTAATTGTAGTGAAGACGCTTATCTATTTTCACTATTTATTTACAAGATCCTGTAGATCACCACTTACGTGTGCTTCGCTGTCTTCACATACGTAGGGAAATGGATGAAGAGACCCACTATTGAGTATTTTCCTATCTCTGAGTATTTCCTATGACAGAGAACCCCAGGTAAAGGGAAACTGCCTTTCCTTACCTCTTTTATACTCAGGAAAGCACAAAGTCACCAGATGACTCTCAAGAGTAAATGAGAACATAGGTATCATTCTCATTCAATCCATTTGTTTTACAGATGAGGAAACCGAGGTCCAGACAGATGTATTTTTTAGCCTAATATCATCTTATTAGAAATAACCTCAATCTTTCCAAGAGATTAGTTCCAAGCTGGCTTTTGTGCCTCAAACAAGGCTTGCATTCATAAATTGCCATCTGTGTGTGTGCCTGTTTGTGTGTGTGTATGTGTGTTAACTCAATATTGCAGAAGTTTTAATTTAGGTGTTTTCCAGAATGCTGAGCTCTTAAAAGATAATAATAAAAACAGAGGAGAACTGCCTTTAAAGTAGATGTAATGTTTACTTTCCACTTTTTATCTTCAAAATGTTTCATAAACCTTAAATACTTAATCTTTTCAAGATAGTAAAAAGGCTGAAAGAAACTTTATCTCCTCTTTACAGGTGGAGAAATAGAGAAATGACCTTCTCAAAGAATACTCAGGAGCTGTTATAAAGGCTGAGGCTGGAATTCAGACCTTTTTGTTTATGGTCTCAGACTACTGCATTCCTGGGAAGACAAGCGCTTCCTGCCATTTCTGGAAAGAAAAGTATACACAAACAGTAAATTAAAGGGTAGGTCTCAAAGGAAGAGCAACTCTAGAAGATAAACTTTCTGAAAGGTGAAATCACTGAACTAAAATTAACCTGCACGATCACCCATATTTTCCATGAAGAAAAAGCAACAGAGGCAGTATTAAACTGTCAGCCCTCAATGTCATCACATGTGTTTTTTCTTATTTGACCTATGATTTGGTATTAAGAAATAAACCAGAGATGGGTAAGTGTTCCAGTCACTCCCCACTCCAGTTTCCTCATTCTGTACTGCTTTAATACATGTCTCTGCTATTTCCAATCTCAGTAAATCAGTTATTTCAGGGAAGTGTACTTACTATGTTGAATAAACTTGTGGAGTGGTTTATAAGGGAAAGTCTTCATCAGAAATAAGGAAAAGAAAGAATGAGAGGTGAAAGGAAAGAAAGAAACAAAGGAGAAGAATACAGAAAGGAAGAGAATTAAGGGAGAAAGAAAAAGAGAAAACAGGATTAAAGAGTGATATGGTTTGGCTTCAAAATGTTCCACAAACTTTAAATACCTAATCCTTTCAAGATAGTAAAAAGGTTGAAAGAAACTGTATCTCCTATTTACAGGTGAAGAAACAGAGAAATGACCTGCTGAAAGAATACTCAGAAGCTGTTATAAAGGCTGAGGCTGGAATGTTTACTCCACCCAAATCTCACCTTGAATTGTAATAATCGCTACATGTCAAGGGTGGTGCCAGATGGTGGTAAATGAATCATGGGAGCGGTTTTCCTCATACTGTTCTCCTGGTAGTAAATAAGTCTTATGGTATCTGATGGGTTTATAAATGGAAGTTCCCCTGCACAAGCCTCTAGCCTGCTGCTGTGGAAGACATGGATTTGCTCCCCATTT